ATTTATTAAGAACTTCCTATGTCTAGTACACAGAGTTAGTATTTGGGGATACCCTCAAGGCTTTTGCCTTTGAGTTCTAAGAGATTTACTTAACAAGTTTCTCACACTCACCTTTTCTATATTAGATTCAGTACTCCTGGGTCCATTTTGTGCTTGCTCTAGAGATTTTAATATATTGTACAAACTTAAGAAGTAATTCACTTTAAATTTTTACTACTTTTAGGTTAATTTCCCTTATTAAGTATATGTTCTTTTCTCCTTGCATAGTGTGCATAAATGGATTGTAGTTGTTAAATAATCAAAATATATTTACTGTTAGAATTCTTTCCTGGGCTGCCAAATACCAGCAGACCAGCTTTGAATGGTTCTCACTGTTTTAAGTTTAAGAATACGATCACTTTGGGGCAAAAGATTTTTAGGTCTTCGCCTTGATTTATCCTTTGTTACCCCTAGAGTTCAGTGGGAAAAGATGCAGAGTATTTAAGAGGAGAATGGCTTTGTTATCTTTGAGACACTAGAGTGAAAAACCCTAAATCAGGCACAGAACTTTGGACAGTGCCGTGCAACAAAAATGATGCTTCCAGATACTTCCTTGTGGGTCACTTGTAAGGTCCTTTGAAATTATGAATCAGGCAGTTCTTGGACCCACTGTGATATCCATGGCTAGCTTAACAATGAAATGCCGTCTTCAAATCCCTTTTAATTTGAGGTCTTAGCAAACAGTTCTGATATTCTGTGTTTTGGTTTGTTTGTTGATTTTTTTGGTTTGATTTGGATTTTGCCTTACTGCTAGAGAATATTGGATTATTTCTGCTATTAATGATCACTTTCAGAGCTTTTAAAATGTACTTTCTTATTCCTTAGCCTTCCTAGATCACACTCATAGTAGTATTGTATTCAGTTGTATCCTACAATCAACTTATTTTTTCAAAAATGTATTGATAGTCTAATGTGATTTTTCCATTGAAAATAGAACTTTAAAGCTAAGTGATAACTTAGAAATCATCTCTTCAAGTCTCCTCGGTTGTAAGTCACTTACTTATTTATTAAAGGACTAAAAGGTTATCAACATTTATTTTAGGACCACAGGATTGTAAGCATTAATTGGCTTCAGTGATTTCTAGTCCAGTACTTGGTGAAAGGCAAAGCGTGCTTATGATGTAATTTTGTACATTCTTTTTTATTAGTAATGCCCAACACTTCCTTCCACTGTTTACCACACTCATATTTCATTTTATCTACTTCACATGGAATCCTCACATGCACTCTTGTATAGAACTAGAGCTGTGTTTATTACTAAGCGGAACCCATGTTGGATTTTAGCAGGTTTTTCCCCCTCTACATCTGCGTCTTTGATGGTAGCTGGATTTACTGCTGCTCACTTATTAGTGCCTTGGGTTGTAACAACCTTATTCAAACAAAACATCTTAAATGGAGGCATTAAAAAGGTCACAACAGTGAGCCGTTTTGTAACTTTTGGTGTAATAAAATGGACATGTTGTGTTTTGGAATATAAGACCTCTGAGTCCAGCTATTCATTTTCTTCATCTATAAAACATTTAAAAATACCAGCTTACATCTGCTTGGGGTTTAAAATTCCACATTTTGAAGAAACATCACTGTTACGTAACTCCAGACCAGACGTGGAGTGGGGGAGCTAGCTCTCTGACAGGCCCATGTTCTGTGGAAGTTGGGTAAGTATTTGTTTTAGCTGTGGAGCCATATTTGCTGGCAGTACTTCTTTCGCATGTGGGGAACACATTTTCATTATTGTTTCTTGGTATTGTAAATGACAAACATTCAATATGATTTTGACTTGAAGAATATTTGAAAAATTTTCATACATCAGGAGTTTTATCTTATGAGAAATATTTCACTACCAGAAACCAGAAGTAAATGTAATGGTTTGAACATTTAAAATATGTGTAATTACCTTGGACTGTCAGTTAATCTTATTTCAGAGAGTAAAGTTGGGGTTTACTGTCCGCTCACTTTTTAAAATAAATACCCAGTGGAATTGTTTGGCCATTCCAAATGTGTGATTTTTTAAATTACTTCATTAAATTGAAAGAACAATCTAATGAATAACTTTTAATAGAGGAAAATGGGCAAAATCCTCATCTGCAGGATTTAAAATCTAATGTTAATAAGTACCAAAAAGGTGTGAATAACGTAAAGTGCAATTTTATGGGTAATTTTAATTAAGAAGTGAGGAATGCTAGCATGGACCCTTACAGTAAGTTATAGGGCATTTTTTAAATCTTATAAATGTGAAATATTTACATTCTTGTTAAAAAGTGATATATTTATATTTTGGAGAGGAGAGTACAAAGAAGAAAAAGTAATCTATAATCCCACTACCTGTTGTCCTCTTGGGTGTTTTATTACATATTATAATTTTTTCTTAATTTAGACAAGGTTTTAAAAGCTATTTATACAGTAAGTTTTGGAGGTCTTGATAGTTAATTGGAAATATAGCACTTGAGTTTCAGAATGGACTTTGTCAGATGCTTTCACATTTTGGTGACAAAAAAACTAAAGTAAATTCAGTTCCTATTATGGAGCATTGACATAGGGTGTGTGCTGCTCCTTATTTATGAAGGTGACAAACTTCTCTGAAATTCTGGTTTGTCAACCTCAACTAGTCCATTGATGCTGATATATAAATATATATATTTTTTGCCTCACTTCCTCTTCATACCTGAATAGAAGACAGATTTTTCTTCCTGTGTCCACTGTCAAGCTCAGGGCCATTTGGTCCAGAAGAGTAGGACACATGATGCTAGGCTTTTAGTTTTTGATTAAATATAAATATTTCAGAAGTAATTTAATGCCCTTAATTCATGTGATGGTAAATATCCATTAATTCCCTCAAAATCTTGGTTTCTAGGACACGTGTGTATATGCATGTGCACACACACACATCCATTTACATATTGATAATGCTCAAAGTTCCTATTTACTTTTTTTATTAAGGTAGCATTGATATACAATCTTATGAAGGTTTCACATGAGCAACATTATAGTTTCTACATTCACCCATATTATTAAGTACCCCCCAAATACTCCATTACAGTCACTGTCCATCAGTGTGTGTGTGTGTGTGTGTGTGTGTATACACACACACACACACACACACACACACACACACACACACACACATATAGCATCTATAGTAAGATGCTGTAGAATCACTACTTGTCTTCTATGTGCTATACTGCCTTCTCTGTGCCCTGCCTACGTTATGTGTGCTTAATTCCCTTATCCCTCCCTTCCTGCCCACCCTCACCACACCCTTTCCCTTTGGTAACTGCTAGTCCTTTCTTGGATTCTGTGAGTCAGCTGCTATTTTGTTCCTTCAATTTTTTGCTTTGTTATACTCCACAAATGAGTGAAATCATTTGGTACTTGTCTTTCTCCACCTGGCTTATTTCACTGAGCATAATACCTTCTAGCTCCATCCATGTTGTTGCAAATGGTAGGATTTGTTTTCTTCTTATGGCTGAATAATATTTCATTGTGTATATGTACCACATCTTCTTTATCCATTCATCTACTGATGGACACAGGTTGCTTCCATATCTTGGCTATTAGAAATAGTGCTGCGATAAACATAGGGGTGCATATGTCTTTTTGAATCTGTGATCTTGGTTTCTTAAGGTAAATTCCTAGGAGTGGAGTTCCCGGGTCAAATGGTATTTCTATTTTAGATTTTTGAGGAGCCTCCATATTGCTTTCCACAGTGGTTGAACTAATTTACATTCCCACCAGCAGTGTAGGAGGGTTCCCCTTTCTCCACGTCCTCACCAGCATTTGCTGCTCCTATTTACTTGCAACTGAGCTGAGTACATAATGATAGTACTGGGGCTGTGCCTTGCTCAGGAGAAGCATGCCTATTACAGCCCATTAGACTGGGACTGGGTATTACATAGGCTAGTGGGCAGGGTCTCCTGGAGTTCAGGTATTTTAAGAAATAGAGAGGTAAATTCTACATTAGACTCTTACAGAATTTAATTAAAAGCAAATCAAGTACACCATTGGTGAATTTATATGCATATAAATGTCCCTAGATGCTTTTAGGTAGATGAATAGCGGTCAGGGCGCTGGATTCAGATTGTCTGGGCTTCTTAAGTGTCATTTAGGCAGTGATCTTCTCTGGGCCTCCATTTCCCTTTCTTTAAAATGACGATAGTAATAATACCTAACTGTCTTATAGGGTTGTTGTGAGTATTCAGTTAAATGAAACGTAGGAAGTGCTTGTTGGTACAGTTCGTAACACATGACAAATGCTAGGTAATTCAGGTTCTTACCATAGTGCCCTAACTGTAAATACTTCTGTAAGTGGCATCCTGTTCCCTGCTCATGCTTCTTTGCTATAGGTACCTCTTCTTTCCTATGATGCTTGGGCCTAAATCAGCTCTCAGGCCGCCTCTGCTCTGTTCAGATCCCTGCATGAGCTATGCTTTCCCTTCAGGGCTGCCCAGCCCAGACTGGCTGCTCTGTTCCTAGGTCCCTGTTCCTTTTCTTTACTCTTGCAGGTGGTTCTGTCTGTCTCCCCTTCTGTCCTTCAAACTCTAACACTTGGCCTGCTGAGGAGTAGACAGCTCTAGCTCGTAAGCAGAAGCATACTTTTAAAAGCCTCTAGTCTTTATTACTTGTGATGGGAAATACTTGTCATTTCAGTAGCCCAGACCTCCTATGAATTGTGCTTCTCTGTTTCAGAAGTTCTTCACAGCATCATTTTATGTCCCTTGGGCTCAAAAAGATGTAGAACTGTACAGTAAACTGTAATTAAACAGTAATTACAGTTTAACTTAAACAGTTACAGTTTAACATTTGTTCCCCTAAAAACTGTATTTTACCTGTAAGTTCTTTTAATTTTAGCTTTACTATATACATAAAGTTAAAATGAAGTCATGTTTCTAAATAATAATTATAGGTTCATACAATAATGCTAGACAAACTGCTTTTTCTTGACTATTTGATTTTTTTTTTTCCAGATTCCTTTCTCATTGGTCCAGTTTCCCTTATGGGAGTCCTTAAAAGTAAGTTTTACAATGTTGAGATAAAATTTCTCTCTAATTATACGAATACTCACTGGTTTCAGCATAGAATACTAGAACATGGTATTGTCTAGCAGTTTAAAAACTTAAAATAATTAGCAGTTGAAAATATTTTTTCGGTGTGATTTATATGCCAATTCAGTCTTTTAAACTTGTTCAAGTTTCTAAGGCTGGAAAATAAGCATAACAGGAATAACTGAACTCCACAGATGATAAGGAAACACTTAACTTTCTTCGGTATTGCAACTCTTCTTTCTGCTTAACTGAATTTTATTTCACTTTACTTTGTATGCGTGTGTGTGTACAGGTTAGGTAGTAACAGTGGCAGTAAATGGAGAGGGAAACGTGAGGCCCTGAGTATTTGTAGGCCTCCCTGACCCACAGCTAGTGGCAGGCTGCCGCGGAGCAGCAGGGCAGGTGGTCTGACTGTCCCCTTCCCTGTACGCTGCTCATCCCAAGCAGGCCCGGAGCTCCCAGTGAGAAGGAGCAGAGTGTGGGGAGTTGGAGTCAGCCGCAGGGCAAGGTCACTTATATGATTAAAAGCAAATAAATGAATTTTTAAAATGTGTTCAAAATTTGCAGAGATGATATATATGTATTTTTCATCTTTTGGTGCCATGATTTTGAAAATTTGGGGTCATCATATGAATTGTGTGGGTGTTTGCCAGCATTTTAAAGACTATAATAGAAGAATAGTGGACAGCATCTTACATGGTAAGGATAAATCTTTGTTTGTAAGACGTCAGTGTCGTGCACATATGTAGACACACATCTCTTCAGGGTACAATGTGAAGTGTATTTCTTACTCTGTATAATAATGGTAAAAGAATCTGAAAGCCCTTGTTGAAGTGAAAATTATAAATGACCAAACTAAAATGTCAAAATGTCTAGATAGGCACTTGATAACAATAATGTGAACTATTATGAACAAATATGAATTACTAACAGTAATATGAATGATTATTAGCAATGACAAAGATGAATCACTCCTATAATTGTATGGACTTAGTAATCATAGAGTACTCATGCGAAATGTCTTTGGAAGAATAAAATTATTTGGACTCTGAGAAGTACTATGTTGAGGTAATATACTAAGGATAGTAAAATGAGACAAAACATGAGTCTTATAAAAAAATAGACCCTAGAATATAAAGTATTGAGAAATACTTCTTATAAGTGATCTGATTTTAAGGAGTAGTTCAGCTTATTTTATATAGTTTTTTGTGTCTTTTTTTTTTTTTTATACCATTTCCTATGTGATGCCTGGTAAAAATGGGCTTTTTGGGCCCTGTTTCTGGGCATGATATAATGGCGCTCCAACGAGAAGGTCACATTCCTTGAGCATAACAGCTCTCCTTTTCTGTGTGTGACAAGAACAATGTGGCAAACAGCTGTCCAGCAAACAAGACTCACTTTATTAGTGTCTCAATAACCCGCATTCACGCAGCTTCTGCACACTCATGTCTTTACGCCCTATCTCCGCATAGGAATGTCTTGAGGCCCAAAGAGGGACAAAAGCATGGGGCTTACTTCTTTTCAATACTTTAAGGGTATTTGTAGTATTCTAGTTAGTTAAGGAATGTCTAGAATTTTTCAGAGTAGTTGTACATAACAATGTTAAGCTTTAACACTTTTCTTCCAGCCAATGTTAAGATGCTGTAAGTAGTTTATTTTAACTTGGGTTTATTGAGGAGCGATTTTCATGCAGAAAAATTCACCCTTTATGAGTGTACATCTTTATGAGCTTTGACAAACGTTTATGACTCCAACCATAATGCAAAACCAGAATACAGACTATTGCTACTTTTCCCTTTCCCAGAATATCATATACAGGCATACCTTGGAGGTGCTGCAGCATCAGCTCCAGACCATCACAATAGAGCGAGTCAAGTGACCTTTTTGGTTTCCCAGTGCATATAGAAGTTATGTACACACTATACCATAGTCTGTTAAGTGGGCAGTAGCATTGTATCTAAGAAAACAATGTAAATAGCTTAATTAAAAAGTACTTTATTGCTAAAAGATGTTAACCATCATCTCAACTTTTAGGAGGTCATAGTTACTGATCACAGATCACCATAATAAATATAATAATAATAATGAAAAAGTTTGACATACTGCAAGTCTCACCAATATGTGATACTAAGACACAAAGTGAGCAAATGTTATTGGAAAAATGCCACTAATAGACTTGCTCAGTGCAAGGTTGCCACAGACCTCTTGTAATTTAAAAAATGCAATATCTGAGAAGCACAATAAAATGAGGCATGCCTATAAATAAAATCAGAAACTACATAGCATTTTGTGCCTGGCTTCTTGCACTATATATGATGCTTTTGAGATCCATTCATGTGTTTGCCTGTAATAGTTTGTTGCTTTTTGTTAGTATATTCCATTGTACAGGTGGACTACAATTTATCCATTCATTAGCTGATACACATTTGCGTTGTTTCAAGTTTTTGATAATTGTGAGCAAAGTTGTGGTAAACATTTGCATATAGCTATCTGTGTATACATAAGTTTTTGTTTCTCTTGGGTAAGTACATAAGAGGGATTTCTGTATCATAGATAAAGTATAAGTTTACTTTTATAGGAAACTGTCAAAGTGTTTTTCCAAAGTGGCTGTACCATTTTGCAACAGTGTATGAGAGTTCCAAGTGTTCTGCCTCCATGCCATTATTTGTTATTCTTAGATCTAATTTGTTTAGTCATTTTAATAGTTGCTTACTCATATATCATTGTGGTTTTAATTCACAATAAGGCTAAATATTGTTGAGCATAGAGTGTGTGTTTGTTTTTTTAATACCCAAATGTGAAATCATACTGCTTTGTTGAAGCAGACAATTCTTGGCACACTTATTTATTATTTTCACTACACATTTATTTATTTATCTATCTTATTAAAGTATCATTGATATACAATCTTACATTGGTTTCAAATATCAATACAGTGGTTCAACAGTTACCCATATTATTATATCCTCACCCCATCTACTGTGGTTATTATCTGTCAATGTAGGAAGATTAGAGAATCATTAACTGAATTCTCTGTGCTGCACTACCATCCCCATGACCACCTTTTGTGGTTGTGAATCTTTGTACCCCTTTATCCCCTTCCACCTCCACCATCACCTTCCCCTATCCCTCCCCTTTGGTAACCATTAGTCCCTTCTCAGTGCCTGTGAGTCCAATGCTATTTTGTTCCTTCTGTTTTGCTTTGCTTTTGTACTCCACAAATGAGTGAAATTATTTGGTATTTGTCTTTGTCCATTGGCACCTTTATTTTTATTTCATTTATTAATTTATCATTGATATAGAATCTTACATTGGTTTCAAATATACAACACAGTGGTTCAACAGTTACCCATGTTACTAAATCCTCACCCCCACTAGTGCAGTTACTCTCTGTCAGCATAAAAGAGGTTACAGAATCATTGGCTATATTCTCCATGCTATACTACCATCCCCGTGACCAACTTATATTATAATTGGTAATTTTTGTGCCCTTTTATCCCTCACATGCTCCCTACCCACCCACCCCCAATCCCTTCTATAGGAAACCACCAGTCACTTGTCAGTGTCTATGAGTCTACTGCTATTTTGTTCATTTTGTTTTAGTTTGTTTTTATATTTCACAAATAAGTGAAATCATACAGTATTTGCCTTTCTCATCTGGCTTATTTCACTAAGCATAATACTCTGTAGGTCCATCCATGTTGTTTCAAATGACAAGATTTCTTTTTTTTTTAATGGCTGAATAAAATTTCCCTTGTGTATATGTACCACAACTCTATCCATTCATCTATTGATAGACTCATTTATATGTTACTTCCATACCTTGGCTATTGTATGTGGCAGTAAACATAGGGTGCATATATTTTTTCGAATCAGGGATTTTGTTTTCTTTGGGTAAATTCCTAGGAGTGGAATTACTGGGTCAAATGGTATTTCTATTTTCAGTTTTTGGAGGAACCTCCACGCTGCCTTCCACAGTGGCTGCACCAATTTACATGTCCGCCAGCAGTGTAGGAGGGTTGCCATTTTTCTGTGTCCTCGCCAACACTTGTTATTTCTTGTCTTTTGGTTGGTGGCCTGGCTCTGACTGCTGTGACACAATATCTCTCTTTGGTTTTGATTTGCAGGTCCCTGATGATTACTGATCTTGAGCATTTTTCCTGTGTTTGTTGGCCATCTCTCTGTCTTAAAATGTCTATTCAGGTCCACTGCTCATTTTTTAGAGTATTAGGGTTTTTGGTGTTCAGCTGTGTGAGTTCTTTATATTTTAGATATTAGCCCCTTGTTGGACATACCATTTGCAAATACATTCTCCCATGCAAAAGGTTGCCTTTTTGTTTTGTTCATGGTTTCCCTTGCTGTTCAGAAGCTCTTTAGGTCATTGTAGTCCCATTTGTCTATTTTAGCTTTTGTTTCCATTGCCCAGGGAGACATAATGCAGGAACTTGTTCTGTCTCTTCATTTTGTCTGATTCTCTGTGTTTGTTTCTCTTAGGTAGGTCAGTACATTTCCTGGTCTTAAATAGTGATCTCATGTACAGTGCAGTATGGGGCCCAAAAGCACAAAGACCCTGGCCACAGAGGCAGGCATTCCAGGGGTGCCCCTGTATGGACTGCGTGAACCGTCAGGCTGTGGCTGGGCCCTGTCTGCTGCAGGGGGCCCCCCACCCTCACCCCCACCCTCAAGGCTGGCTGAGAGGCCTGGCCACACTGTGGTGGGCATGCTGCTGGGCATGGCTGGCCCCTGACTTTCCCCCAGGTAGCAGGTACTTTGGAAGGGCACTGGCCTAGCTGGGCTGCCTGGCAGGTGTGTGACACAGCAGTAGTTGCTTTGTGGGGGCATCAGTTTCAACCGAGGCCGCCTGCCAGGTGTGGCATGGTAGAGCTGCTTTGGAGGGGGGCCTGCTGGGGTACGAGTTGGGTGGATGGGTCCTCAGGGAGCACCAGGGCAGGGCAGGTGGGGCTAGC